GACTTGCCACGGTCTCCAACCCTCCTCCTTTCTCATCCGGGCTTGGGACCGGCCATGGCGGAGTTGCGATACAACGTATGTAAAAATAAATAAATAGAGTAGTAAGTACATTAGGGTTGTGCCGGTAATTTTTATAGCGTGCTCTTCATGTTAATAGCCAACCTTCTTTCCCTCGGTGATAGTTGTGCTCTTGTTTCATGGTTATCAGGTTTAACGGTTTCTCAGATATCGTTTTCGGGAGATATTCTTTTCGTTCCAGGGTATCAACAAATGAAGAAAATTTACACCCTGCCTATATTGTTGAAGGCCGAAGTAGATTGCTTCTTTTTTCACTGACTCCTGTGTTATGCGAAATTTGTTTTTGCATGTTTATACAATGAAGAATTTTGCTACTAGGTAATGATTGCTAAATGGGGCAAAAAATGTAATTAAACAGATTAAGCATTCCCGCGGTTACGTTCTTATCCCTGGCAAAATCTTGGACGATTTCAGGTCGCCTAGTCACTTTCGGTTAAATGCACAATAAACCACATCTGCCGTTTGAAGACGTAGCTGTCGTTGTCTGGTGTTGTACAAATTTTACCGCCGTAGTACCGGGACTGGCTGTCATTCTAAGATCGTAAAGGACGATGAGGTACTATCCATCCTTAGGCTGCTGTATTCTTTTTCCTGTAGATCGACTAGCTGTTGGTCTTTCGCCAGGACAGTCACTGTGTTCTCATATGGCTTCCAAGTGACTACTGAAATCGTGTGCCGACTGTCTGCATCGTCATAATCATAATGCGCTGCATATCTTACCTGCACTACTTTATACTGGTTTTATTTGTAAGGAGAAACACCACTACCGGTGATCAATCTTTGCGGTTGCCTCAATTCATCAGTAAGCGCAGCAAGACTTGTTGCGCCGTAGTTTCTTGTTTTGCGTGAATTTGTCAATGGTTTGAAACATGTGAATATCATATAGGTCCAATGCCAACAGTTTATGTTTCTTCACTGAAGCCAAGAGTCGACAATTGAAAGATTTCATGTGATGTATCGCGATTAGAGAAGAGAGTTCGAATACAGTTGCCAGTAAATGATTACGGGTCGCCGTAGTCGCTTCGAAGTGATCTTTATCAGTACCCTTGACAGTGTTGCTGTTAGCGACTTAAGTGGAACAGCATAATAGCCTAGATTTATTCTGTGTAATCGTTGAAAATGATCTACGAGCACTCTTATGCTGCAACAAGCGTCAAACCTCATCGCAAGCAGATCTGCCTCAACTATGTGTTTCCGTACCGTTCCTTCAATGCTTATACAGGCAGTGAACTATTTTAATTCAAATTATTGAGGATATTTCCGTTTTATCAAACAAACAAATACACCGGTCTCTGAGTTCAGTTTTGTGAGGCTGTGTTTGTCGTTAATATCTGCTCGTTCGTGGCCAATGCGTAGTATGGTCATAATTTATAGTCAGCGCTTTTGAAAGTTGTTGGTACGCATTTTGTGACGTTACAGAGTGACAGACATTTCTAGATTGTACATGAGCACCGCATTACGTCTGATTTCGTGATGGCAATTTATGTATTCCTTAATATCTAGTGCAATTTTCGAAAATTCACTTGTGTTAGAGCCAACCCGTTTGTTCACTTGAAGATCAATACTTCCGTCATTCTGGCAAAAATTGTTCCAAGATGCTTGAAGTGGTCTACATAATTATTTCAGTAGTCATTCAATCGTATCCTCCGACTATCCTTACAGCATTTGCGCTCCTTCTTGGTTAGCAATTTCTTTCTGCAGCGATAGCTTTTGTGCCAGATCAGTGAGCCTGCGATTGTTACGCACTTTATTAGCTTCTTCAGCATTTTCACCTGACACATGGGTAACATGACGACCTATAACCTTTACCGAATTGATTGACTTATCCATGTATTAATATATTTGTATTATATATAATATGTATTGATATACTTAATGGATGATGGAACAATTTGATATTTATTTTGCACCTATGGCAGTGTCATCACTTGATATATCCAAGTGCTCGAATAGCACACAGCTGTGACCTGCTTCAGTGGTCATTGAACATACAGACTCACGGAGCGGGGTAGTACTCCTTGAAGGCTAGTCTTCAAGCGTTTATAACTGTTATTTGTTAATTAATCGGCACGTGATGCATCCAGTTTTGGAGGGAAAATATGAGCTGTTCCTTAAGGAAGGGTAAGATGCTCTGTACGAAGTTCCGACTGTGGAATCCGTCATTCAAATGATGATTTCAATGCACATATCGTTGAAAATTGGAAAGGTGTGATTGGAATGAACGACCCTAGCGACTTCAACAATAACGGCATGAAGTTGTTGCGGTTTTGTGCAAACAGCGGGCTGCCTGTTACGAACATGGAAGAGCGCATCAGTATATCCGGTACCGGGAAGCTTTTGCACAGAAGTCGATGATCGATTTGATAATCGTATCGTCTGGCTTAAGACGCTCTCTGATGGACGTTCGCGTTAAGAGAGGCAGAAAACTATCAACCGATCATCACCCTGTTGTTGGCACTCTGCGCTGTAAGAAATGGAGTACCATACGAAGATCTGGTGGCAGAAGCAACGCGAGAATCAAAGAAACATTGTCTTCGGTGGACTCGAGAGCGAAATTTGCAAACAACTTCGCACGACGGTTTGAACAGATCCCAGTGATGACAACTGATGTCGAAACCGAGTGGCAGCTCTTTACGAGCGGCATACTCGATGCTGCCGTCGAATGCTGCGGATAAAAACGGGTTGGCCAGCCGCCTGGAGGTAAGAAAAGATCTTTATGGTGGACATGAGAGGTACAACCGGCAGTTAATGGAAAGAAAGTTGCATTTAAGAGATAGCTGGAAGCAAAGAATTTGCACTTAATTTTATTGCCTTTTGCTTTGCTGAAAGTAAAGATTTTTGCTGATCTTCCTCAAGCAGTAAAAGTTTACCTCAGTTGTCAGAAATTTTCTCTAGAAAACGTTCACATAAAAGCAAATAGCTGAGCTTTCGATTTTAAACACTGTGGTAGAGGCCGGTAGATTCAGATAGCTCATTTGAGCACAGCTGATTAGATTTTGGTAGTCGTTGTCGAGGTCTGGAGTTCAAGGAAAGCGTCGAATGTTTCAGATTATTCTTTACCTTGAAGACTGAACAAAGTCGATTGTAGTTAAGAGTATATTTTTTTGTAGATGGCATATTTTTAAAATCTGTATTAGAGAGCAATGTTTTGGTTTTGATAGTTCTTTCAGAATGGTATCCGTTTGAATTTTACGCAGATGATCAATATTTTTCATATAAATTTTGCTTAATGCTTTGCATTATACACTATATGTAAAACATAGGCAGTTGGCAGGATTATGGCCAGATGACTTATGTATTTTAAAATCTCCTGTCGCTATCGCTCCTTAATATCTAGTGATTCGGTTTGTCGAATTCGCAGAGGACCAGAACCATTGACAAAGCTACCTGGAGTTGTTGTTCATCCAGGTTCTCCTAAATTAAAAAGGGGTGCTGTGACGGCGAATGACGTAGGTGTACTCTGTGAGTTAAAAATGACTGTTAAGATCGCTAATTCATAGGAGACATTTTATACGCATGATTTTATGATGTTAGAATTACAAAAACTAACGAATTGATTTTATTTTTATTATGCATTCTTACGGATCGAGATATATCCATTGGTATTCGAACACATTTTTGTTCCGTCCTAAAGTGAACAACTTTTGCGCTCATGCGCTGGCGTGGCCTGCAGTGTCCTAGGATATTACGAGCAAGTGGACATGGTGCGACTACTTGGTAAAAATCCAGAGAAATGGTATGAGATTGGATTTTATTTCTAATTCTTTGTAGCAAGAAATTCACTCTGAAATGTTGAAAGGCAGTCGTTGATCAACGAAAAATAGGTCTTGACAACTATATGTTTTTATGGTTTTCTATAAGCATTATATTTATTTACGCAACGGTTGTCCTTTTTGTATGTGCATGTTTCGGAAACATCGGCCTTCATCCTTGTGAAGTTGTTGACCTTGTCATCTTAAATCGACGAAACGTGACTTTGACGAAAATAGGTTTGACAGTTGAATTTACTGTGGAAAATGCTGTAAAGGAAGCCGCCGGAGGTTGACCGTGGCCACGCTCGTTTTCAATCATCAAAACTGCCATAAAACAGTTTAAGAATCATTTTATACTTTAGAGTTCTTCGTTGCTGAATTGCTCTGTGTATATAAGGGCTGGGAAAAGATTCTTGTCATCTGGGATCGCCTTTCGTTGATGGAGTAAGTAGCCGAACCGAATTTTCAGCAGTTCGATCCGTTAATGCTTTAGAGATGTCCAACTTCGACGATATCGCTGGACAAGCAGCTTGCAAAACACCGTGGGGCAGATGGTGGCAAACGATCGAAGAGGTATTCATTGAAATTGAACTCAAGGAGAAAACTCGTGGCAAGGACATTGCTGCCAACATCTCTCCAATGACGATCGAATTCCAATTTCATGATAGTACGCTGCTTCAAGTACGTGAATTCTGAACTCTAATTTTGTTTGCTTGTCCGTTACGTATTTTAGTTTCCGTTTATATTGTTATTATCTTGAACCGAATAATCAGGATAAGGTTTTTAAGGATAAAATCTGTTTCAAAGGACGTCTTGGCGGATACTGATTTTAAATTAATGCATATTAATATCTATTGCAACTAAATTCATAGATTTGCTTTTGTTCTTCAGATAGTGTGTCCGTAATTATGGTTTATGCAACCGCGGCTGAATCTGAGTAAAGATACATAACGATTTTGCTGGTCAGGCTAGTGAAACGATCTGTGGGTTTGATCAGCCACGTCGAGATATCTCCCATTTTCTATGGAGATCCTTAATTGGTATGAGGTTCACAGTTTGGCTTCGAAGGCGTGATCAGTACCAAGCCAAGAATAAGGTTCGTCATCCAAACAGGATCAACCTGGCAAAGTTTGTCTTCTCCTGCACCACACGTGGTTCACCACCTTGAGACGCAAGTAATTGCGAATATTACCTTGGGTTCAACGTTGGTTTTGCGTTCCAGCTTCTATTCTAAACTATCTAAATGACAAAAGAAAAAGTGTATTTGAATTCCTTGCAAATCTTCCATAAGGATGCTTATTATTCTGAAAATTTATTCTGGATGCTTATAGAAAATGAATATTTGAGTTGAGTTAATAGTAGTGGTTATTGAGTAGCATGCTCGTCGTCACCGGACTTAAGCACCGTACTTTTCCTGTTTCATGCAAATCATCTTTATTTAAATTTTCTAAAAAGTGCTGGGACAGCGAAGTTAACCAGACAAATAATAACTAATATGATAAATGCTTATTAGAAGAACTTAGAAGTCATTTTTTTAGTTCTGAACAAACCTCTACTCCTTAGATGTTTCTGCGGTTTGTTGTATCGTTCAGTAAGATTGACGATAAGTATATGCTAGGCAACAAGTGTATGTAAGGTTATATGAAAAGAGATCTTTTGGATTTAAACCTAACCTTCTTATTTTCTTGTTCCTGGCGGTAGACGGTTGTGCCTCAGTTTTGCTGCACCGCAAGCCGTCTATGTTACGTTAATCAGCGGTTGACTTTCACGGATGGTCGAATATTTCGACTATGAGTTCTAACCTGCAGAAAATCAAAATCTGCTAAGATAACTGCGCATCACTGTTGTAGTTGAATCTGCTTGCAGCGTTTGCTGAAGATATAAACAATGTCTCTTATACGATCGACAGCTTACCTCGAATTTTAACAATGTGAATGTGGCTAGTTTCCGGCTGGAATTTTGGTTCACAACGGACTCCTGTTGGGGAACATATTGGGAAGAGAAAGAAGAGGGAGATTTTCTAGCTTTCTTCAACTAATTAATAGAAATCACTTATTCATCTACGTTTTTGTAAAGTAAAATTTCCTTTGTACAAGAACCATAATGACACAACCAACGTTTGTAAAACAGTTTTACCAGAACCCTTCCTGACCAAGATTACGGAGAGTGGCATGAATAAGGACTTGGCTAGTTGCATTAGACTACACAAAGGACCTGCAGGGTTTAAACACTAACGAAATAGCAGAAGAAGACGAATCCGTCAATACCTATCAAAATGACGATTGCGAAGCGGCAGTGACCAGGACTAATCATGTTAATCGACGATGATGGATGCAATATCAGGCTGCTGACGTTTGTGTAGAAAAATTGAGGAATCAGTGAACTGTACCATTTAATTGAAAAGGGCGTAAAACTTCTGCTGAAACCTATTATCCTATTCGCTATTATAATGCTTTCGTACATGAAAGAAATTATGTCATCCATTACGTCAAGTTTCATTGGATCGTTACTTTTCGCATATAAATTTGAGGCATAATTACGCACTAGCCAGATATCACCAAATATCACCAACCAGGGCAACTTGCTGGTCATTAGACACGATGTGTTCATTGCCTTCAGTGCAGTGATATGTTTTAGAAGTAAATTCGCTTTTATTATTGAAGAAATAGGAAAGTTAAAGAAATTATACGTAGAAGCGGAAGAACACGGACCTGACAAAAATGTTGTGTAAATTTTTTAGCTTAGGGTTATCAGCAGTGTACAACTGTTTTTTCGAACGATATATTACACGGTGCAGGTACAAAGACCTCAGCCCGTTGTACCTGGCCATTGCAAGCTTTCTACTATGAGGCGTTTATGATCTTGTGGATCCCGAATTTTCTGGGCAGGAAACTGAATGTTGACGTGCCATATAGTTCCTGTCGCGTGAAAGGACATTAGCACTGCCTCTGACATGTGAAATCAGCGACAGGACTATTTAAACCTTCACGTGCCAAGGGATGGCTTTCGTCTATCAGCAGCGAGGCACCAAGTTGCATACTGTAGCTGGTATTAAAGTATCTTAGAGATATCTGCCAAGTTCATGTTAGCAGTGCGCAGCATCGCCATATCAGCGCCGGGCAAAAAATCCTTTTATTATAGACTGGGCCGGATTAAGTTATGGGTGGTATCAAGCAACAACAGATGATGTTACCTAATATTTGGTTCACCAGGAGTACCTAATTTCAGAAAGTGAATAAGCCCTCTTCTCTCTTTGCTGAACGTCGAATTCCGCTGGTCAAACCATTCTTAACGAATGTTCAAACGAACTCCAGTATATTTAACACTGGATGCATGAAGTCGCTTTATTTTCAGTAGTTGTTGTTCGGCTGCTAATAAAAATATCACAGACCTAGTAACTTTGTACTCTTAGGTCGTTTCGAACGCTGTTACTTGTGAGAGCCTCTGAATTCGTTGAGTCTAATGTATTGTTCATTTTTACAATAACCTCCTCATTATCATCTTCAGACTCATTAGTTTATCGTAAAATAGTTCACACAGTTCTCTCAGCTGTCAAGTGAAACATCGAAGAGATTAAACCAGTATAAAAATACTAAAATTGTAGCTTTTCAATGATCCTTGCATGCTTTCTTTCGATATTGAAAATTTTGGGGCGATGAATCAAATCATAGATGAGTATTTTTTGGTTTTTGCATAGAAACGTACAAACTGGTTTCTTGTGGCTTTGTGCCTTGAAGCGCAGGTATTCTTCGCTACAGACAAACGAGCGAACAGAACTGGCTATTTGAACGAGTACTTTGGTCAATGATCCTGACAGCTATTGAGCTAGATTCTTTTACATTGAATTTTTGACAGTGTTGGCCGTTCGTCACATGACACAAAAGTCACCATTAAGCAGGCCAACATAATAGAAGATAGTAAATACGTATAAATCGATTAATTTGTATAGGATATTCATCGAAATAAGCGAGGGTAACTGAAAGTCAAGAATTGTACTTTTCGAGACATGTGGCGAAAATACCCTCTACATATCTTTTGAAGTAGCATAGGAATGAATGGTTATTGTTTCGGGCAAGCTTTGCAGTGCTTCAATGAAAATTTTCATATATATATGAAAAAAGGGGATTGTGGATCCAAGGTCAACTATTTTGATTTATTTAAAACATTCACCATCGAGGAAAAAACTTGCTATTTTTTCGATTCTTTCAGGGTTACACCTTGTTATTGATTATTACACTGGATAGTCAGTTGATACATTGCGTCAAGATGAAATGCAGCCATAGAGACGCCCGCTTCGGACAGCGTAAGCCTCGTCTGTTCTTGCAAGACCTCAGCAGAATATCGTGCTGTCCCTATCTTTCACAATCACCAATTTACTACCAGTTTTTCTGCTGGTTGCACGTATTCAACGTGTGGTTGATTCCTTGCTCAAGGGAATTTGCGGAAAGTACAAAAGATATCCCTTGAAAAGAATTGAATTCGGCACCTTCAGAGTTCGAAGCCGACATTTTAGGTCCTGTGCAACTACGCCACCGATTATAATTCATAATGGAGACCATGAAACAGTGCCAATGATGAAAGTTTCGGTGCTACACTGATGGCATCATCGGGACGCAACTGTATGATAGCGAAACGCACTGGTTAGACACTGTACCATGAGTGTTGTTTGGTGACCTCAAACATCAATCGACAGATTAGCGGTAATTCCGGTAGCGGACCCAGATTCAAAGGCATCCTATTATATCTGAAGGAGAAATAATTCGTCTTTACCTTACAATCTAATGATAAATTTAAACACATTAATAAAGTGAGTTATCTTTTCGAAATTTGCTGCTAATTTTTATAATATCATCCATGCGTACATTCATAACTTTGAACTTCAGATTTTACTCCCTGATTCTTATATCCCTGTTCGCGTGCTCTGTCTTATAATGTTTAGAATAGCAAGTAAGATTTCACTTATCGTCACAGACAATGATTATTCATTATTCCTACAATGTTTCATTGCCAACATATGTGAAGAT